TATAGTTTCTGGCATGGATGAAAGTACCGACATTAAAGGTATAGGAGGATTATCTACTTCTCGTGGATCCTCAAAGACCTGGGGGTGTTCACACTTTTTCGCATGCGAGCTACTTATAAAAGGCTCAAGTCTAAAATGATCTACCTACTACAAAAAATGCTAATCATAAAGTTATTTTCAAAAAAATATTCTTTATACCTACAAAGTATGTTTATTGTACATGCCAAAAACCGCATGAGCCAATATAGACACAACCCAACACAATTATCTATGTACATTTTTTGTCATTACGAGTTTTACTCTTATGACTTGCACTGAATTGAATCGGCCAGAGATGCTTAGTCTGGAAATATTGGTGGTAACTCGTGAAAGTCTTGGCGTGGTTTCAGCTTTCTGCCACTGCGCGCGGTTGTTTGCGCATGTGCAGTCACCTAAGTGCTCAGTAAATTTACGGAGTAAAACACACATGTGCCAGTCACCTAAGTGTCAGTAAAACTTTACTGAGTAAAACAACATGGCGCGTCCCACCTAAGTGTCAGTAAAACATTACAGAGTAAAACACCATGTGCAGTCACCTAAGTGTCAGTTAAAACATTACTGAGTAACAACACAGATGTCATTTGACTGTGGTTGCTTGTCCATGTGCCATGCAGTTTTTTTTAATCCAAATATTTTCCATCCTCAGTTTATAAAATAATTTGCCAAAATCCAACATCTGCGTTATCAATACATTCAGTAAATCACGTCGTAACATTCCAAACATGTGCGTGTCTTACGTCCTGTCCTGCGTTGGGGAAAAACACAGAGTGGGCGGAGCTTTGATGCAGACGCCGGTAACGGCACTTTTACAGTCATAGAAGACACTCAGAGTAAAGACGTATGTTTTACAAGCACTGACCCCGTCCTCAGCCTGGTTTAGTCTGGTTTAGTCCTGGTTTGGTTGTTTTCGTAGCGTGAGTCCGATCACTTTGCTGCTCTCTGATGTGGAGGATGTTCGCTGCTGCGAGCATCTCACAGCGGACAATTTTTAAGGTAGTATGATCCATGCTTGAGTGATCAGAGGAATTTAGGGGGGTACTGTGGCGTGCGAGAACGCAAAACTCCGGTTATCTCTGTCTACACACAAATGCATTAACGGAGTTTTCAAAAATCTCCACTTTGCCCGGAGTTTTTTTGTATATATTTGTTTAGAATGTGTAATTTTTTCATTTATTTAATGCGATCTACCAATACTACCTTTGCGATCGACTGGTAGATCGGGATCGACGTATTGAGCACCCCTGGTGGAGAGAGTACTATATGTGTAGAGTGTACTATAGTTGTGTAGTGTGTACTATAGTTGTGTAGTGTGTACTATAGTTGTGTAGTGTGTACTATAGTTGTGTAGTGTGTACTATAGTTGTTCTTTGATCTTTGATTCTTAAATCCCTCCAAATGAAACCAACAAAGCGTCCGCTCGGTGCCAGTTTTTCTGCCTGTAATTATTTTGTCAATCAAAGGCCGCGGCGTTCGTTAAAAAACCAAAAATGGGAAAATTGAGCCTGTATCGAAAAGAGCCCGAGCGTGGCAGAAACACAACATGTCAGACCTGCTTTATTATGCTAAAGCTAGAGATTTATACTAGCTTCTTATTATGCTAAAGCTAGAGATTTTATACTTGCTTCTTTATTATGCTAAAGCTAGAGATTTATTCATACTTCAGCTTCGTTATTATGCTAAAGCTAGAGATTTTAGACTAGCTTCTATACTAGCTTCTTTATTATGCTAAAGCTAGAGATTTTATACTTGCTTCTTTATTATGCTAATGCTAGAGATTTTATACTAGCTTCTTTATTATGCTAAAGCTAGAGATTTTATACTAGCTTCTTTATTATGCTAAAGCTAGAGAAGATTTTATACTAGCTTCTTTATTATGCTTCTGCTAGTAAACCGTTTTTATACTAGTGTTTCAGACGTTGGAGATGTTCACATTCCACACACGGAGAACACGCTCTATTCCCAGGGAGGAGACCAGGAGCCAGAGACCAGAGGAGACCAGAGCACCAGAGACCAGACGAGAGACCAGAGAGAGACCACAGAGACCAGGGGAGAGACCAGAGACCAGGAGAGACCAGAGAGAGGAGACCAGGACGAGACAGAGACCCAGGGCGAGACCGAGACGAGACACACGAGAGGAGGAGACCAGAGAGACCAGGAGAGACCAGGACGAGAGAGAGAGACCAGAGAGAGCGAGAGAGACCAGAGAGAGACCAGAGAGAGACCAGAGAGAGACCAGGAGAGACCAGAGAGAGACCAGAGAGAGACCAGAGAGAGAGAGAGACCAGAGAGAGAGAGAGAGACCAGAGAGAGGACCAGAGAGAGACCAGGGAGAGACCAGAGAGAGACAGAGAGAGACCAGAGAGAGACCAGAGTGAGACCAGAGAGAGACCAGAGAGAGAGACCAGAGAGAGAGACCAGAGAGAGACCAGAGAGACCAGAGAGAGACCAGAGAGAGACCAGAGAGAGACCAGAGAGAGACCAGAGATGAGACCAGAGAGAGACCAGCGAGAGAGACCAGAGAGAGACCAGAGAGAGAGACCAGAGAGGAGACCAGAGAGAGACCAGGAGAGACCAGAGAGAGACCAGAGAGAGAGACCAGAGAGAGACCAGAGAGAGACCAGAGAGAGACCAGCGAGAAGAGACCAGAGAGAGAGACCAGAGAGAGACAGAGAGACCAGAGAGAGAGACCAGAGAGAGACCAGAGAGAGACGAGAGAGAGACCAGAGAGAGAGACCAGAGAGAGACCAGAGAGAGACCAAGAGGAGACCAGAGAGAGACCAGAGAGAGACCAGAGAGAGACCAGAGAGAGACCAGAGAGAGACCAGAAGAGACCAGGAGGAGACCAGGAGAGAGACCAGGAGGAACCAGAGAGAGACCAGGAGGAGACCAGGAGGAGACCAGGAGGAGACCAGGAGGAGACCAGGAGACCAGGGGGAGACCAGGGGGAGACCAGAGAGACACACAGAGACCAGGGCGAGACCAGAGGAGACACACAGAGACCAGGAGGAGAGACACCAGAGACCAGGAGGAGATGCACAGAGACCAGGAGGAGACCCACAGAGACCAGGAGGAGACCAGGGCGAGCCCAGGACAAGACACACAGAGACCAGGGCGAGACCAGGAGAGAGATCAGAGGAGACCAGGAGAGACACACAGAGACCAGGGCGAGACCAGGAGGAGACCAGAGACCAGGAGAGACCAGGGAGAGACCAGGAGACCAGGGCGAGACACACAGAGACCAGGACCCACAGAGAGACCAGGGCGAGACACACAGAGACCAGGGCGAGACCACAGAGACCAGGAGAGACACAGGAGAGACCAGGAGCGAGACCCAGGAGACCAGGAGGAGACCACACCAGAGGAGACCAGGAGACCGGAGGAGATGCACAGAGACCAGGGCGAGACCAGGAGGAGACCAGGAGGAGACCAGGACGAGACCCACAGAGACCAGGAGGAGACCCACAGAGACCAGGAGGAGATGCACAGAGACCAGGGCGAGACCAGGAGGAGACAGGAGGAGACCAGGAGGAGACGCACAGAGACCAGGAGGAGACCAGGACGAGACCAGGAGGAGACCCACAGAGACCAGGAGGAGACGCACAGAGACCAGGAGGAGACGCACAGAGACCAGGAGGAGACGCACAGAGACCAGGAGGAGACGCACAGAGACCAGGAGGAGACGACACAGAGACCAGAGGAGACCCACCAGAGACCAGGAGGAGACGCACAGAGACCAGGAGGAGACGCACAGAGACCAGGAGGAGACCAGAGAGACCAGGAGGAGACCAGAGAGACCAGGAGGAGACCAGGAGAGACCAGAGAGGAGACCAGGAGGAGACCAGGAGAGACCAGGAGAGACCAGGAGAGACCAGGACGAGACCAGGACAGAGACCAGGGGAGACCAGGAGGAGACGCAGGAGAGACCAGAGGGCAGGACGACCAGGAGGAGATCAGGAGAGACCAGGACCAGAGAGACACACAGAGACCAGGGCGAGACCAGGAGGAGACCAGGACGAGACACACAGAGACCCAGGGCGAGACCAGGAGGGAGAGATCAGGAGGAGACCAGGACGAGACACACAGAGACCAGGGCGAGACCAGGAGGAGATCAGGAGGAGACCAGGACGAGACACACAGAGACCAGGGCGAGACCAGGAGGAGACCAGGACGAGACACACAGAGACCAGGGCGAGACCAGGAGGAGACCAGGAGGAGACCAGGACGAGACACACAGAGACCAGGGCGAGACCAGGAGGAGACGCACAGAGACCAGGACGAGACCAGGACGAGACACACAGAGACCAGGGCGAGACCAGGAGGAGACACACAGAGACCAGGGCGAGACCAGGAGGAGATCAGGACGAGACACACAGAGACCAGGGCGAGACCAGGAGGAGACCAGGACGAGACACACAGAGACCAGGGCGAGACCAGGAGGAGACCAGGACGAGACACACAGAGACCAGGGCGAGACCAGGAGGAGATCAGGAGGAGACCAGGAGGAGACGCACAGAGACCAGGGCGAGACACACAGAGACCAGGACGAGACACACAGAGACCAGGACGAGACCAGGAGGAGACCAGGACGAGACACACAGAGACCAGGGCGAGACCAGGAGGAGACCAGGAGGAGACCAGGAGGAGACACACAGAGACCAGGAGGAGACCAGGAGGAGACCAGGAGGAGATCAGGAGGAGACCAGGAGGAAACCCACATAGACCAGGACGACACACACAGAGACCAGGAGGAGACCAGGAGGAGACCAGGAGGAGACCAGGAGGAGATCAGGAGGAGACCAGGGCGAGACCAGGACAGAATCTAAGTAAAAACATTGAGTTTCCTCTAATCTTCAGACCCAGGAACCTGTGCATCATAAATACTGTGTACATCGGACTCTGTTATCCATCCTCCATAATCTCCTCTGCTGCTCTTCCATCTCCCCCCCTCCCTCACCACTACCTCACCCCCCCCCCCCAGGGCCTCGGGAAATCTCTGAGAGGCACGGGGCCGTTTCTTCTGCGTTTATCTGTGGATGAAAAAGTAACAGTCGGACTAAATGCTTCGTCCTGAGCTCTCGTCTGAGGCGGATATTTGCCTTCTCAGGGTCCTCTGACAAGGTTTGTGCTGATGCAACAGAGATGGAAGAGCAGAGGTTTGGGATAAAACAAAAAAGTCACTGTAAAAGTCATTGTTTCTGAATACAAACAAATGCCATGAGAATATTGGAAACACAAATTGAAGAGAGGAGATAGACCTGGACCTGCAAGACCACGCCCCAGACCTGGACCCCAGAGACCACGCCTCAGACCTGGACCCTGAGACCTGGACCCCAGAGACCTGGACCCCTGAGACCACGCCCCCTGAGACCACACCCCTGAGACCACGCCCCCTACTCCAACTTTTTCGGTCCTACTTTTGAATCTGTGGAAAACATTTTACTGGATCTTTTCTGTTCATATTTTTTCTGTATGAGATACAGTTTTATTACGTTACAATTATTTCCAACATGGAATATTCACAAAATGCGTCTTGAACCTGTAAAGTCCTGATGAGATTTATAACCTATTTTGTTTTCAAGGGAGTCCTGAAGTAAATTCTTAAAGCTATATACTGTAGGAGAATACCTTACTTCCGGGTGGATCATGAAGACTACTGGTCCTCCCAACTGTGCTCGTCCAATAAGACCAGAGAGTTTAGTTCAAAAAGTGGATTAAAAAGCGGTTCTTTGCTAAAATTTTTGAAAATCCTCTTCAATACTTTTAACGTCCAATGGAAATTTACCAGAAACTTTCCGTAACTGTCTCATAAATGTTCCACCCTTTTGCAGTTCCACTTTCAAAGGAACCAAAAACCAGATTCACATGAAAACAAACTGCTTCCTTTTTGTGACGGACGTAGAAAAGCTCCAGACGACGCCGTGTCCTTACAACCGCTACTAAAGCCTGTGTGTGTGTGTGTGTGTGTGCGGCGGCCGGGAGGACCTGAGAGCGCCGGGTTGTTTAGTGTTTGTGTTGTTGATTTGAAGCAGCACTTTGGTCCCAGACTCTCAATCCCCTTCAGTCTGAGCGCCGCGAACGCTCTGAGGACTGAGGAATCATTTCAACCAAATCCCTCCAGCCTCACAGGGTCAGGGCTGGACTCAGACGCAGAGAAGACACAGAGCTGCTCTGTGCCTCGTGAACCACAGGCTTTGTTTTTACAGTTGTTTTTTTGATGGTTTGAGTGCTCTCTCGCTTTAGTGTGTTGCTGTTTTGTGGATTTGTGTGTGTGTGAAATTTGGCAAATCCTCCGATGACATCACATACATCAGCCGACAGTGAAACATGACAGTTACCTTTATGTAAAGTCAGAAGAAAATGTTTGTGGCCTGTGTGTGTGGGGATTAGGACTCTCTCTCTGGTCCCTCTCTGGTCTCTCTCTGGTCCCTCTCTGGTCTCTCTCTGGTCGCTCTCTAGTCTCTCTCTGGTCCCTCTCTAGTCTCTCTCTGGTCTCTCTCTGGTCTCTCTCTGGTCTCTCTGGTCTCTCTCTGGTCTCTCTCTGGTCTCTCTCTGGTCTCTCTCTGGTCTCTCTGGTCTCTCTCTGGTCTCTCTCTGGTCTCTCTCTGGTCTCTCTCTGGTCTCTCTGGTCTCTCTCTGGTCTCTCTCTGGTCTCTCTCTGGTCTCTCTCTGGTCTCTCTCTGGTCTCTCTCTGGTCTCTCTCTGCTCTCTCTGGTCTCTCTCTGGTCTCTCTCTGGTCTCTCTCTGGTCTCTCTCTGGTCTCTCTCTCTGGTCTCTCTCTGCTCTCTCTGGTCTCTCTCTGGTCTCTCTCTGGTCTCTCTGGTCTCTCTCTGGTCTCTCTCTGGTCTCTCTCTGGCCTCTCTCTGGTCTCTCTCTGGTCTCTCTCTGGTCTCTCTCTGGTCTCTCTCTAGTCTCTCTCTGGTCTCTCTCTCTGGCCTCTCTCTGGTCTCTCTGTGGTCTCTCTCTCTGGTCTCTCTCTGGTCTCTCTCTGGTCTCTCTCTGGTCTCTCTCTCTGGTCTCTCTCTGGTCTCTCTCTGGTCTCTCTCTCTGGTCTCTCTCTGGTCTCTCTCTGGTCTCTCTCTCTCTGGTCTCTCTCTGGTCTCTCTCTCTGGTCTCTCTCTGGTCTCTCTCTGGTCTCTCTCTGGTCTCTCTCTGGTCTCTCTCTGGTCTCTCTCTGGTCTCTCTCTGGTCTCTCTCTGGTCTCTCTCTGGTCTCTCTCTAGTCTCTCTCTGGTCTCTCTCTGGTCTCTCTCTGGTCTCTCTCTGGTCTCTCTCTGGTCTCTCTCTGGTCTCTCTCTAGTCTCTCTCTGGTCTCTCTCTGGTCTCTCTCTAGTCTCTCTCTGGTCTCTCTCTGGTCTCTCTCTGGTCTCTCTCTGGTCTCTCTCTGGTCTCTCTCTGCTCTCTCTGGTCTCTCTCTGGTCTCTCTCTGGTCTCTCTCTGGTCTCTCTCTGGTCTCTCTCTCTGGTCTCTCTCTGCTCTCTCTGGTCTCTCTCTGGTCTCTCTCTGGTCTCTCTGGTCTCTCTCTGGTCTCTCTCTGGTCTCTCTCTGGCCTCTCTCTGGTCTCTCTCTGGTCTCTCTCTGGTCTCTCTCTGGTCTCTCTCTAGTCTCTCTCTGGTCTCTCTCTCTGGCCTCTCTCTGGTCTCTCTGTGGTCTCTCTGGTCTCTCTCTGGTCTCTCTCTGGTCTCTCTCTGGTCTCTCTCTGGTCTCTCTCTGGTCTCTCTCTGGTCTCTCTCTGGCCTCTCTCTGGTCTCTCTCTGGTCTCTCTCTGGTCTCTCTCTGGTCTCTCTCTAGTCTCTCTCTGGTCTCTCTCTCTGGCCTCTCTCTGGTCTCTCTCTGCTCTCTCTCTGGTCTCTCTCTGGTCTCTCTGGTCTCTCTCTGGTCTCTCTCTGGTCTCTCTCTAGTCTCTCTCTGGTCTCTCTCTCTGGCCTCTCTCTGGTCTCTCTGTGGTCTCTCTGGTCTCTCTCTGGTCTCTCTCTGGCCTCTCTCTGGTCTCTCTCTGGTCTCTCTCTGGTCTCTCTCTGGCCTCTCTCTGGTCTCTCTCTGGTCTCTCTCTGGTCTCTCTCTGGTCTCTCTCTAGTCTCTCTCTGGTCTCTCTCTCTGGTCTCTCTCTGGTCTCTCTCTGCTCTCTCTGGTCTCTCTCTGGTCTCTCTCTGGTCTCTCTGGTCTCTCTCTGGTCT